GAAAAGCTACTGAAGGTAGATGAATGGATTTGGAAGATAATTAAACCTTTTCTTGATCTACAAAATCAAAAACATGCGGTGCAGAACAAATGATTCCCAGCGTTCCACCCAATGTGACTCCAAAAAATAATAATAGAAGTAGCCGATCAATCACCATCGCAACATATTTCCAGTCGTCACGGATCTGAATTATTTTCTTGTTCAGTTCTACAGTCTCATACATAATCGCCACAAAGTCGTTTAAAGTAGATTTATTCCACATTTTTGAGAGAATATTTTAGTTTAGAGAAAACTCCTAATACATTAATACTATAAGAACTTCTTAAAAAAGAACGAAAGTATTTTTCATTCTAATGCAAGCTCACATCTGGATGACTTTAGACAAAAACAAGTAGAATTTTTATTGCACGAAAATGGTAGTAAATGGACCTCCTCTTTGATTTCTGTAAAACTTTTCTTAATTAGTAGATGGTTAGTTAAATTGCACTTGAGATTTAAACATTATTTGCAACAAGTTTCGCTTTTCCAGAAACTTGTCCAAGACCATACAGTCAATACCCGGTAAATCACTATAGAAGTGACCGAAAACAGCCGCTTCTAAAACACAAGTCCCTTAGATTTAAAAAAAAATAACACAGGACCCCTATTTGCATTAAACGCCGATCATTGACGTAATTCTTTTGCCCTTTGGAAACAGGGCTTAATTTCAGAAATCCAATTGTACTCGACTCTATAAATATTGCTATTGCTAAGACGTGCACTTTGGAAACCAAGTAACGTGATCAGGGAAAAAACTGTGTCCGAAGATAATCGCAGATGATAGAATTCGTACAATTTTTAGAATGCACAGTGGACATTCAGGAGCCGGCTATAAGTGATACACAGACAGAGTATAAACATAGTGATTGTTTTAAATTACGCAGCTCATAAGTAGAAAATTCGTACAGAATCTCAGATTTTCGAAAAGGCAACGTAATGCATCATTAGAGATCCTTAATCCGTTCATATAAACAATTTACGCCCTTTAAATTCTGGTGACATGCTTGCATGCTTCTAAGACAAAATTTTTGTGCAGCGCGAAACGGCAACTCCAAATTTTCTTTGCATATCTGCGAAGCATTTTTCTGGAAGAAGTTATGCACCCTTATTTCTTGTCAAAATTACGTACAGCTCTCAAAAAAGTGGTCAAATGTCAAGTCTGTCCTTGAACAACAATGCAAAAGCTGGATGTCGAATGTCTTGCTGATTTCCTTGCAAACTTTCCTGTATTGTTGTTTATGGGG